CAGCTATTGAGCGGGCCCCGGGGCTGGTGGTGAGGTCTGTCCCAGCAGCTGTCTCAGCTGCACTTGTCCGGGTAGCAGGCGGGGGGCAGAGGAAGAATGGGGGAGGGGCAGGAAGGCGGGGGAGGGAGGGCTTGTGCTTCAGGATTCAGGCTATCAGCTGGGGTCCGAAAATGGGACTTCCACTCCTGCCTCTGCCCCAGGCATCCCGTGTGACCTCGCTTAGCCTCTCTGTGCCTCAGTGCTCTTGGTGTGAATGTGATATGGCACCCCCCCCCGTCTATTCGCCTTGGAGAGCGGGGGCTGTCTCTCACGGTGGGTCCGTACAGCACCCAGCACGCTGGGCCCGGAGCTTGGCGGCCACCTCTAAGCAGTACAGCCGTCCCGGGAGCACCCGGTAATGTGGTGGGAAGCGAGGAGTAGAGTCTCCCGCTGAACCCTGATTTCTGGAAGATAAACGGGGATTGCCCGGGATGGTCCAGCACTAGGGGGACAAGGGTGACCCTCAGTGACTGCAAGCGGCCAGCCACACTGCACCCCCTTGTGCCAGGGGTTCCCAGAGACCCGGTGGGAGGCAGAGAGGGCGACTGGACTTGCTGGCCGAGAGGGCACAGAGGGTCTGAGTTCTCTGCCGCGATTCGTAGCGGTGGGGCCCACGCTCAGCATCACCCACGTGCCCTGACAGAAGCGCCCCACAGGGGCTGTGGGCTAGTGAGTGCTCAGCTTGCCAGCTCCCCGCTGTCCAAGGTGTCCTCCTGAGAGCTGGTCTCTGCCAAACCCCCTCTTCCTCCGGCCAAGTACAGAGAGGGCACAGAGGGTCTGAGTTCTCTGCCGCGATTCGTAGCGGTGGGGCCCACGCTCAGCATCACCCACGTGCCCTGACAGAAGCGCCCCACAGGGGCTGTGGGCTAGTGAGTGCTCAGCTTGCCAGCTCCCCGCTGTCCAAGGTGTCCTCCTGAGAGCTGGTCTCTGCCAAACCCCCTCTTCCTCCGGCCAAGTACACCCGCCTGCGCTGGCAGCTGGAGCGGAGGGTTCGGATTGGGGCCTTGCTGCTTTCACAGGACTCCTGGGCCATGGCTGGTTCAGAGAGTTGCCCCCTCAGCTTCCCCAGGGCAGTGCCGGGGCATAGGCAGTGAGGCAGGTCAGTGGGTCTGTCTGTCTCGATATAGTCCCACAGGAATGGGAGAGGGGGCAAAGAGTGGAGCCAGGGTTAGCCCTCTCCCTGCTGTGTGGCATGGATCTCCATAGCTCATGCTGTCCTCGGGTTCGTGTGGGGGGACGGGGTCTAAGGGCTGGCTTGGGTCCCAGCTTCTTGCTCCTCCTAGCTTGCCCTCCCTTTCCCTCTCCATGGTGGCAGAATCGGTCCCCGCGTGTGATAAATGCATCTACGGTCCTGTCCCACCATCCGTAGGGAAGCGCTGCGCTTCAGGGCTTCGGCCTCAGGCTCTGCTGAGTGATCCCCCAGCCTGCCCCAGTTCCTGAGAGCTGCTCCGCGGCTTCCTGGGTGAGGCAGCAACAGGCAGAGGCGGAGCACCTTGTGTTCTGTGCTGGGGCAGCCCCAAGACCAGGGGGATGGGCTGGCCTGGCCACTTGGTGTATGGAGCCTTGCAGCGGCTACCAGGCGTTACTATGACAGGCTGGCACCAGGACCAGGCCTTGCACTTTGTATTTCAAAGGCCAGGCTGGCCGGTCAGATAGGGCCCTGGGAGGGTTGTGGGTTCAATTCTTGCAACTGGTCTTATGCTCCCATGAGCCTCCCCGGAGCCGGGCCTGGGTGTGTGCCTTTCAGCCCCTGCTGGTGGAAGGAGAGGGGATTGTAGAGGGAAGGTATAGAGAAGGGACTGGAGGGACTTTGGGGATACGAGTTAAATATCGAGGACAAAAGTTCAAGCCCTTGGTTTCCCATGACCTGCTGGTGGCATAGCGCCCCCTAGTGCCAGGCTGGGGCGCAGGCGCCGTGCTGCGACTGAGGAAAGCGCCCCCTTTCACCCAGCCAGGGCAACTCTTCCTGCATCTGCCTGAGTCTTCGCTGCAGCAGGGGCTCCGAGCAGAGCCCAGGGTGCTGTGTGCAGTAGCTGTGCGCTTCCCTGCTCCCCGAAATAACCCAGCCTGCTCTCCTCCCACTTCCGCAGGGGTTATAGCCGGCACCACCCACCCACGGATGAACCAGTGGGGGGGGATACTGGGGGTGGGTTGCTCCTGGGAACAGGGCTGCTCTTTGATGACAGTTCCCTGGTGGTTGGGGAAGGGCGAGGCCTGGTGTAGGCCCCGAAGGGCATGTCTACCCAGCACGTTTAGCCTGGGCTCTGGCTCTGGTTTCAGCCACATTCTCCCCCCCCCCCCCCTTCATTCCTCAGACCTGCTGGGAGTGAGTCTGAGCCCGAGGCCTGTCGAGACGCCGCCCCGCTGCCATTTCGCAGCCCTGAGTCCGAAGGGCCGTGCAGTGTACTGGGAGACTCGGGCCCCGCAGTGGTAAAAGCTGGTTCACAAGGCCAAGTGGAGGCACCGCGTCCCCAAGCCGGGCCCACAGCCCTGGGTTTGCAATGCCAATGCAGTGTGGACGCACCCTGAGGGGGCCTTTGTCGGGCAGGAGAGTTCGACGGAGAGGGAGCCCAGCGGGAGGCTGCGTGTTACTCTTCTCCAGGGCCGCGCGAGGCTGAAGCGGCCCCTTCCTGCTGCTCTGTTCCCCGCGGGCTTGGCTCTCCCCTGCTTTCCCACAATGCCTGGTGGCCCAGTGCCTTGAGGCGGGCGACGAGAGGAGAGACAAGCAGCACTAAAAGCATTTGACTTTGTCCACCAAAGGTACAAAGTCAGATGATTATTTACAAAAAGGGAGGGATTCTGCCGGCTCCGAAGGCGCTGGGGCCCCCGGCTCCGCACAGCCCATCCCTGGCACCACAGCCACTCAAAGAGCGAGAAGGAGCCGGGGTCCTCGGCTCGCAGAGGGAGCCAGAGCCCAAAAGGCCTGATCAGCGAGTGCTCAGCTCTAATGAGGAGTGGCCTGGAGGGAGGCAGTGTGTGAACATGCATCTTAATGCGTCGCTGGATCGTCTCTGGAGCCGCCTCCTCCCCCCAGCTGCTGCCTCCCACAGAGGCAGCAGCACGGACGGGGGGGCAGGTGGGAGCTGGGGGATGCAGGGAAAGCCCTTGCCTCCCCCCCACCCTGTGCTGCTGCCTCTGATACCCCAGCACCAGGTCCCCAGCTGAGGAGATGGTGGGTGAGGACTGAGGGGCACCGGCAGAGCTGTGTGGGAGCCGGGGGCTCTGGGCCAGGTTTGAGGTGCGGCAGCAGAGTGGAAGGGAAACTTGCCTAGCGCCTGCGCAGGCTCCCCCTGGCTGCAGCTGGCTCTATCCACTGCACGCTGTCAGGCTCCCAGGCTGCTCTGGGCCTGTGGCTCCCCTCCCATCCCAGGGGCAGAGCCTGTGGCAAGGGAGCTGGCTCTGCTCCCAGGTCCCAGGGGCAGGGAGACAGGGCAGAGCCTCTCTGAACCCCAAAGCACCAACCTCACCCATGCACCCCACTCTGCCTGGGCCTGCAGCTGGTCCCGGGAGCTGCTCAGCACTTACAGCTCTGTCTGGGCCTGGGCTACCTCCCGCCTTGGATTCCCATTGCTGCCCATCAGGAGTCCTCACAGGCCCTAGCAGAGCTCCCTGCCTCCCAAAGCGGCCCTGGGCGCCCCAGCTTCAATCCTGCCATCGCCCCCACTCCCTTGAGCACAGGTGCCTCTCGGAGAGCCGGCTTCGCCACCCTGGGGCGGAGCAGATGACACTGTCTGAGGCCTTTGGAGCTGAAGGGGGAAATGACTCTGCCCTCAGCTCACAAGTGGCTTTTGGGCCGGATCCAGGAGTCTTCTGTCTGAGGCGCCGGGATGGAAAAACCCGGCCTGCCTGATCGCGTGTCCCGCGCCCTCACGGGGCCAGGCCCGGCGCGTAGCTGAGCCATGCCGCTGTTTGTTTTGCCTCACTTAGCACAGATTGGAAAAATGTAAATGACCTGCCTTCCTAAGGAGCCCATTAGCGCCTGGCCTTCCTGTCCTGAGATGGGCCCCGCTCCAGCTTCAACATGGCCCTTGCTGCGAAGGGGGCAGGAAGGGGGGCGTGGGCCTGTGCGTGTGGGCCTGTGAGCTCTCTGGGGCCAGATCCTGTCAGGTGCTGGTCCCTTTCTGCTGCCTTTCTGCTGGTCCCTTTCTGCTTCCAGCGGGGTCGCCCCACCCTGGTGTCATTCCAAGGGGCAGGAGATACCGTGGGCCAAATCTGGCTCTCAGTCATGCTGGCGTAAATCCACGCTGACCCCTCTGGCCTTAGCAGAGCTGCTCTGGATTGACACCCCGAGTCAGGCTGTGCGCACGACTCCACACGGTGGCGTGGGAAACGGATGCCCAGGCCAGTCTGTGGGGCCGGGAAAAGCCGCATTCGGCTCTCACGCTGCTGTCAATCAGGGACGTCTCCATGGGTCCCTCCAGTTTCCACCTGGTGTAGGAGGGAGCAGATCTGCTCTCCCAAGATGCAACGGGGCAGTGGATCTCATTCTTCCAGGCGCCCCCTCCCGCCCTCTGCTCCTCTGGCTGGGGTTCGCCTGCCCCTCGGCCATCTGGGCAGAGCCGGGGGTTCTTGGCTGTGCTGCTGCCTTTCCACCCCGAGAGGAGGCTGCCTCGCCCGTGTGATGGATGGGCAGGACACGGCAGGCGCAAAGTTCCCCCTTCCCACGGGGCCGTGGCGCTGCGCATGGCTGGAGCGGCCCCCTTTCGCGGATGCATCGGCCAGCTGGCATCCAAGCAGCGGAGGCAGCAGAGAGGATGGTGGGAAACCGTGGCGGAGCCGCTGAAATTTCCAGGCCGTAGGCCCGAGCTGATTGGGCTGAGCCACCCAGACAGGAAGGCTCCTGCCGGGGGTTCCCCCCTCTCTGCTGAAGCCCCCAGGGGAAGCTGCCTGGAATCCGTGCTGGCTAGCTCAGCTGTCACTCCCCATCTCTGCACCATCTGCCTGGGGCTGGCCCCAGCCACTGCAGCGCCCTGGCTGGCTGGAGAGGGCGGGACGGAGGGATTCCCTGACATGGGCTCATCCCTGGTCCAGCCTGGGGCTCAGAGGACGAATGGCCACCCTACCCCAGAGTGGCCAGAGAGGCGCCTCTGTGGGTTCGGGTCTCTTGTGTCCTTCCAGCTGCTTTGCTCTTCTGTTCCTGGCTCGGGCCATGCCGCCGCATGCCGGGCACCAGGGGTGGGATCTGGCCCAGTCTCGCCTGCCGGGGGCGCCGTGAGGGGGAGTCCTGGGTATCACAGGGCAGGGGGTCGCTAGCTGCAGTCTGTGTCCAAAGGGGCGAGGGTGGGAGCAATGAACAGACTCGGGTGGGCCACGCCCCGGGACAGGGGGCTGTGGGGCACCCCACGGGGAGGCCGTCAGGGTAAGGAGAGGAACAAAGTTCTCTCGTTGAGGACACCGAGCCCACCCTGGCCACCTGGCCTTTGTCTGGGAGCTCGGGGCAGGTTCTGACCCCAGTCAGCAGCCCGAACGTGCAGTCGTCAGCACAGGAAGCTTCTGGTTCTAGCAGCGCTGGTGTCAGTAGAACGGCCCCTTTCGCCTCCCTGGAAAACGGGACGCGAGGAAGGGAGTGAACCAAACGCTACCGACACGGCTCGGGGCAGAGACGGGCTGAATCAAGTCCCGCCAGGCGGCCAGAGACCCTGGCTTAGGCGCCCAGAGCCAGGATCCAGGCCCATCCAGCTCTGAGCTGCAGGCTGGGGGAAGGGAGGGTTCCTCTTGTGGCAGATTGGTTACCCCTCCTTGGTGCAGTGTTCGCTGTAACGAGGAGGGGCCCTGTCTGTCACGGCCAGAAGGAGGAGTCTTGTCAAGCTGCTGGACCTGGACTGACTTTGTGGCTCCGTTGGGCTCTCCCCCGGCGTTGCATCTCCCCAGTATCCCCGCCGGACCGTGCAGCTGTCCAGGGGATAGCTGAGTCTGCTCCACGTGGCGGGTGAATCACGTGGGGACATGTGGCCTCACCCCCAGATTTCCGCCGGGGTTTCTATGCCCTGCCCGTAACCCTGCTGCACGCCACGCGAGCCTTTCAATTGTGCCCCCCCAACCGTTAGGCACCGTCTCTGCCCCCGCTCCCCTGTTTGCTCCGCTGCCCCGAGCTCCCTGATCCGACTGCCCTCCATGGGGCTCTTCTGGCTCAGGTGCCGCAGGACGAGTGGAGCGCCTACCCCGGGGCGGGGAAGGACGGCGAGATCCCCTGCCGGCGGATGCGGAGCGGCAGGGTAGCCCAAGGCATGGGGGGAGGAGGCAAGCGGGG